CTGGAAGGAAGAAGTGGGATCCAGGGGATTCAGTCATTCACCCCGGAGGGCTATGATTGATTTTGTAAACTCATCATCAAGCCTGCAGCTCCCTGTGTGAACAGAGGGGAAAAGCTGACGGCTGATCACCAACTCGTGGCGCGTTGAATCTGATAGTGATGAAGACAGTTAGACACACCTGGTTGGCATCAACTAAATGCTGAGGAATTACTGACAACGAGAGGAGGACTCATCTGGAGAACAGCCTTAAACACATCATAAAGTTTTTTTTCACAAGCCCTTTAGGAAGTTAAAGTTCAAATAATATTAAGTCATAGATTTAGAGTGACTGCTGAAATGACTCAGCAGAAATGGTTAAATATAGGGTTAGTTTTTTTTTCAGGCAACAGCTCATGGCATTCTGTGTTTCTGAGAACCACAAAAAATGTCTTGGATTTGAATCTCATCTGTTTATACTCTTTGACTGCATTTAAGGATGAGTAATATATCTCAGAGGAACAAAACCTTAAGACGACTCAGGCAAAACCTTTTGATTATCTACTATATTGCGAGGTTAAATGGGAAAGCAAGCATTGTTTTTCAGATCGCATTTGTTCTTCTCGCTTAAATGATCAAATATATTTCTCTCTTTGCTCTACAAACCAATTCCTCAAATAAAGTTCTATGGATAAATTATAAATCCCTGTCAGCCTAAAGAAAGTAATTATGAGCATAAATATTACACTAGCCACATTAAGCCAAGCGCAGGGTTGCTTGCTTCATCTGTTCTTATAACTTGGCTTTCAGTAAAGGCCTGCTACATTATTTATTATGGCATTCCAGCATGGAAGGCAATCTTCTTGGAAGGCTCAGATATAAATGTGTATGTCTGTAAATATGCTAATGTTTTCCTATTGAGCTCCTTCCATTTGTACAAATCCTACAGAAAGAAAACGACTCACCACATGAACTGCAATTCTAATTTCACATGACAGACCAGATTTGTTTGACCTTAGGTGCTGAGAGGTTTTCATCCGAAGTGATTTTTCTAGCACCATGTCATTTTGCTCAATTAATGTTTCCTTTTTGAGTTGCCTTTTCTTTAAAATGCTGCCAATGTTATAAACAGCAGGATTGTACTCATGAATTCAAACTAAGTATCACTGAACATACAGCTGCAGGCCTGGATTATTGGGACTATGTTGAGAGATAATCTCTAAACCAAAGGTCGCCAAGCACAAGACTTCTTGATTTTCAGTCTGTCTGCAGCAAACAAACCAGCAGTCTTGCTACAGTGTCTTGCAAAAGTTTTTATGCCCCTTGAGCTTTTACATATTTTGTCACATTACAACCACAAGCATAAATATATTCCATTGGAATTCAATGTTATGTCGTGATAACAATTGTGAAGAAAAAAGAAAATCATCTGTGATTCAAATAAAATTTTCCAAATAAAAAACTGAAAAATGCAGTGCACAGAAGGTTCTTAAACTATCATCATCTGTACCTTGGTAAATTTTAACGTTCTTTAAGATGCATTTTTTGGCCTTAAGTGTCCTTTTGAGGATCCTTATGCTTTCCTTATTCCATGTGTTTGGTATGTTTCATAAGCAGGTATTTGTACTTTTGAGTAATAGTTTAAGCAAACTTTAAATTTTTGTTTAACTCAAAACCAGATGACCAAAATACTGATGAGAAATCCACCGGACAGAACCTCGATAGAAACAGAATGAAACTCGGGAACAAACTTTGTCCTCAGTGCAGGTTTTCGTTCCATAAAATGAAATGCCTCAGATCGGATGTGCAGGTGCGGTTTCTCCTTTTAGTTAGAATTTGGTCTGTTTCTGAAGAGATTCTCCCCAAAGGAGACAAGCCACAATACTGCCAATCAAAACAAAGTGCGGAAAATTTTTGGGAACCAATGTGTAAGCGAATGTTTGTAGGATGTGAAGTCTAAATGTTTAAAATCCAAAACTTTGAATTGAAAAATCCAAAGTCTTTCATGATTTTAATAAGTCGATTCTAAAGCCATTAAATTTATGACTCAAGAAGAATATAAATTGATGCTAAGCCACACAGCTCAAATCCAAACCTCTAATTAAATTCAGCTTTTATTCGAGGCTTGTTTAATGTGAACCTTGATTAAAAATTCCTGACAGTTCACTACAGGCCAGTTAAGGTCAATAAACTTTGGTCTTGTCGACTTTAATAAAATTATTCATCTGCTAAGTATTTCTGGGTCATTACACACAATTACCTTGGAGGTATTTGTTTATTGTTCTTGTTGAAATAAGATTGAGTGAGTCCTATTTAATGCAACACACTGTTTTCGTCTGAAGCTCAGCCATGATGACGTTCCTGTGGAGCTTTATCACCACACCGCAATAATTTTATGCACATTTTTACACAAGTGAACGCGTATTACTGTCTTTCTCCTGAACTTTCAAATTGAATAAAAGATAACCGTGGAGTTGATATGTGATTCTGCTGACATTGTTTCTTTTAATTTTCAAAGTAAAACAACTTCCTTGCTCTAAAGTCACAGTGCGAGTATGTGTTGCATGATGTATCTATTTATCGGCGTCACCACGCACAGTACCACATGTTCTTTTTAAGATGTGCCGTCATGTGGCCTTGAGCTCTGCTGTCCCTGTTCTGCGGCTCGCCGAAGCCTCGGCAGCCTCTGGGCAGCTGTCACTTGTTTCATGCTCTGATGGCACCATAACCTAGCGTGGAGAAGATTACGCAGTGAGGCAAGCTGCTCTCTGATTTGTCCTGAGACTTTGCATGCAGCAAGTTGTCCCATGAATAACAGGACAATATTGCAGTTTTTCTGCATTTCAGATTTATGCTTCAGTGTTAAAAACAAATGTTAAGAGCAACTGACATCTCCAACAAAAACAAAATGTGTGAGGTTAATGTTTTTACTTGGTAAATACAGCTTAACATCTGCTTAGCATGCAAATTATCCCCACATGACTTGATTCCAGACTTTCCACTCCTATTTCAAAAATCTTTTAAAATTTCAACTTTATTTGTAACTTTTGTCATTCAATCTTAACTGTAATACTGCCTGCTAAAGATGTGAGACATTTTTTCTGACCCCGTCTTCCTGCTTCACGGTCCTTCGCCCTTCAGCCTCTCTCCAAAAAGAAAAGAAAGAAAAAAAAGAGAAAGACAGTTTCTGCTTGGTAAGGTGGGATGTCTGCCTGGTGGGTTTGCTCAAACAATCCAGCCTGCTGACAGGAGGTGAGCAAACAGCTGAAATTGATAGAAAACATCACAAATAAACTCAGGCAGGAAGAAGTAGCTCACTGAAAGGGGTGGTAAAGTCGTCATTTATCAGACCAGCGGAGAGTGAGGATGTCAGGTGCTGGAAAGCTCACAGTATTTTTGGGAGAAACAGACCTGAACGAGCTACGAGCTTTGCCGTCAATCACAAGGCTAACTAAGACGTCAGTCAGACACTTCAGAGGAAGAAAACCTGAAGGAGCATCAGGTATGTTTGAGTTTGCAGTCATTCCCACCTACATGGACGAAGTGTTTAAAATAGACGTCTTTTGTCTGGAAAACAATCCAGCCTCACTTCCTTAGTATTAGGGAATATAATAATAAAGTTAAACAGAATCAATTGCTTAAGTCTTAGTCTCAAGCAATTGAACATGTCACCAATTTGCAGCAGAACGTCAAGCATGCTGCTAAGTCTTTCACTGGCCCAGCTCTTATGTAGCTGCTATTACTTAAGGAACTACTTCCATAAGAAGTTTTTATGTTAATATCTGTGTTGTGTTTTGTTTGTTTTTCTTTGCTTGTGTAGCTTAAACATCGCAAAACAACAACAACAAAAAAGATTAATGAAAGATTAATTTTACAAAAAGACATACGAGTACACTTAAAAGTTTTAGCATCTGTAATACCCTTGTCAGAGTATTGAGGATTTGTTTTGTTTTCAATTGATTAAGAAGACACATTTGGTAGCACTGCTGCCTTGCAGCAAGAAGGTCCTGGGTATGAATCCCAGTCTTTCTGCATGGAATTTGCATGTTCTTCCTGGGGACTCCAGCTTCCTCCAACAGTTCAAAAATATGACTGTCTCTAAATTTTTCTTAGAGAATTTATTGTTTGTCCTCCGATGGACTGGCAACCTGCAGGGTGTGTGTTCCCCGCTTCGCGCCAGTTGATCGCTGGAGAGAGGCATCAGCTCCCCTCTGATGATTCAGGACACATCATGTATACCTCACATGTGCATCACTGTTCCCCCAAAAATGGAACTACTCCCTTATTATTGCATCAGTGATCATTATCACAATAGCATCACTATCCTGTCTGCAAGGTTACATTTTCACTCACCTTGGATATTCAGATTCTTGAAGATGAAAATGAAACAGGTTGGCCTAATATATGATTATTAGGATGATGATAATTATCTGACTAGTTTAACCCCAAACTGATCCTTTCTTGGTGGTCATTTCATTCTTAAATTTTGAAAAACAAACAAATAAATACGTAATTAAAGCAAAGAATGCAACATCGTGGCAACAGTAACGTAATCCATCCATGACGCACCAGAACACGCTGAATTACTCTCCCGTAATTCCAGTACACATGCATTATTCAAAATGGAGGCTGAGCAAGTGCAATCCAAATGCTCCAAAGACGTGATAGGACTTGATGTTCTACATAACAGCGTTCACTTCCCTATGTTTAGAGCCATGTAATACTCATTTTTTAAATTCAGCTGCATACACGGAAAGTTAGGAAGCAATGTGATAGCATCTTAAAAGGTAAAACAACAGCAACAAATGTTTGAGAATGTGTGTGAAAAAAAGACGCATAAAACATATATAAAACTATATGTTGGCAATCGCAAATGAATTTGTCTCCTATGTTTCAGACAGTGATAGTTGACTACAGCAGCAGCTGAGCAATTGACCCCTTTGACTGACAAATATGATGATGTGGCAATGTCAGATTTAATGATGGATTTTATTTTAACACAGATGTTATGGCTGAATAGCTCTACAATGTCCAGGGTTTTATTAGAACTTTTGCATGGAGTCTTAATTATAGATCAGACGGCTCTGAAATGGCTTAAAGCTGTCAATGCACTCCTTCCGATTATAGTTATTAAGTGTGCCTACATGTTTATGTACAGAAAATGTATTTATCCACAGAATATTCCTGAAAATGTACTGCAATAAGAAGAAAAAATGTATACATAATAAAATTGCATATTTATTATGGATGATGAACTTGGCAGTAGGATTTTCAAAAACATAAAATGCATCCCTGTTAAAAAATGTAAAAAGAACAAAAAAAGAACAGCAAATCTCTAATAAGTGATTATTGTTTTTTTTTTTTTTTTTTTTTTTTTTTTTACATAAAACATTTTTTCTTCTTTCTTTTTCAAAACTTGGTTTGACAAACTTTTGTGCTTACAGGTAATTCTCCACACTCACTGGCCTTTTTATTAGGTACACCTCTCCAGGACCAAGTTGGACCTTCTTTTGAAAACTGAAAGTAAGACTCAGTGGACCAGCTAACACTTTTCCAATCGATTGTGTCCAATTCCAGTAAACCTGTGAGAATTCTAGCCTCCTTTTCTTTTTTTTTTAGCTGGCGCCCATCTGCATCAAGGATCAATGTGTTGACCTTTCAGACTGTAGTTTTCATTCGTTAGTAGCTGCAAGGCGATGTCAGAGCTACCTTTACCTTTCTGTCATTGCGAACCAGTCTGAACATTCGTTTCTGAATTTCTCATGTTCATCTACTACGTTAATGGCGCCTACTTGATATTTTTCCGACACTATTCTGTGTAAACTTAAGAGATAGTTGTCACCCTCAAAGTAATTAACATCCCCTTTTATCGCCATTTGGACGCTGATCTTTTAGCAAGCCAACTTTACCACATCTAGAAACCCAAACACATTGAGTCTCTGTCTGTTGCATTATTTGTGCTAATTTTAGTAATCAAATGAAAAGATGGACCTACTATAATGGGCTGTGAGTACCTTATCAAAGGTGAATGATTGTATTGCTTTTTGCCTTTTTAATTTCTCTTCTCTTTTGGTGCTTTTTTGCAGAGTTAACTGGAAACACACATCCTGAAGTACAAATCCAAGCATATTCACTCATAGAGAAAAGATAATCATGGGTTATTATTAGTTACAGTAATCATTAACTCACTGTATCACCGAGCTCTGGGGTGAAAGGATTCGTCATTTTTCTCATGCATGCATCTTATACATTTTTGAGTTCAGTAATAAGACTAATCCTGAGCGTCATAAAAAAAAGTGTTTAAATATTAGCCATGGAATTGGGCATCAGGAGCCCTCTGATGGAATCATAAATGGGCTGCTATTTTAAGACAAACTAATCAAGCATAATTTCACTGAGCATTTACAAAGCCATTCAATTAGCTTATAAAACAATAACCAGACATGGCAACAGTAATGACATATTTTGTAATTACTGGAAATAAATAAATAGCCAGAAACAAAAAAAAAAAAAAAAACGCCTGCAGGAAATGCCTGAAATGTAAAAGGAGAGCATAAATTATGCAAACCCACAAATAATTAGAATTGCCTTTCACAATAGACACTTGAGTTGCTTGTGTTACAGTTATCCAGTTGTGTACCTCATTGGACGGTGGATGCATGGTTGAGTTTGACAGGTTAGAGAGAGTTTGTGTCATGTGCTTGTTTTGAAAGTTTCACTGGAAAATACTGGATGATGTTCAACTTCTAAGTATCATTGAATGTGCTGCTGATTTCAACCCAAACCAGAGTAATCATCTATTAAAATCATTCATTTTGTTTAAAAGTATATGTTCTGATCTCATTTAAAACAGAAGACGAAGGTCTGATCATTGCGATTTTGCACGATTGGTGTCAGAGGCCTGCAATAAAACCCAACTTCTAAGTCGTGCTGCTGGTGCACTACCCTGTTATTTTACGTAAGCCAGAATTAAGATAATCTACTTTGGTAAAAAATAAGCAGTCATCAGATACATACATATTATACATATTGTAATAACTACATTACAATTGTCGCTACCATATTGCAGTACACCAACAAATTAAAAAAAGATTTTCTCTTGACTTTGCGATGCTTTTATTGAGGAAAGGCAGCACATCCAGTGATGCTTTAAGAACTGCATCCAGTAATGAGTTGACTGAGAAACACAGTTCTCCTAGTGTTGGTTGTCACAATGTGGCTGAGAACCCTGAGTTTTACAACGGTTACGAGACGAAACCAAAAAGGGGCTGGATGAAGAGGCCCAAGGTTCCCAGGATGCACACCGTCACAAAGACCCAGAGGAAGATCCTGTCAATGACCATAGCAACATACTTCCAGTCATCTTCTACCTATAAGCAGAAAAAGACAAAAAAGAAAAAAAAAACACTTGTGGTATTATGCATGAAATAATATGTACATATTTCTTTTGTAGACAATCTGTTTTGCACAGTAAGCAGGAACCAGGCGACTCAAGATTGAAATATCAACTTTGCAGCAGGACAGAAAATGTTTAAATCAGGAAAGGAGGAGAAAGTTTCTAAAAATTTCATGAGTCAACATAAATGTGATACATTATTTACACATGAATTGATAAATATGATAATTTCAAACACAGGAACAGGCATTTTGAGAAATCCGTCTGAGCCCTGAGTTTTTCGTATCTCTCAATGGGAGACTCCATCCTCTTTATTTATAGGCGCCAGACAGTGAAGCTGAAGTGCACACTCTGCTCTAACCTGAACCGTTGTTAACTCTCGGAGCAGTTTAGGTTCTGCATCAATTCAGGGAAGCTTTTGAATGCTGTTCTCCCACAGGCCTTCAGTGCATGTGTTGTGTTTTTGCATAAAACATTATGCAAAAGAACCCCTGCAGTGTGTTTATTTTCTACCACCTTGTACATACAAACAATGTATTTAAACAATAGAAAGAGCTGTATCTCTTCTACACTGGATCATTTTTAAGACTTTTAAATTTGCACAGTGCAGTTTTGCACCAGGAAGCTGTACGGCATATGCTTGGATCTGAAGCATATGCTGCACATTGTAACATCATTGAATTGATGTTACAATGTAAGGTGAGAAAAAAAGGGAAATGAACTCACCTGTAGAACAAATAGAGAATGGTGAAAACAGCAACATGGCAAGATGGCAATATGTCAGAAATGCATGTAAAATAATGCAAGAAAACTGTTTTCCTGCATCCTTCATCAGCATCTCTCTGACTTGGTTCATAGCCTATTAATTAACATCTTGGAGTACTTAGTACAAGATGGTAATACATATTTTAATAAATTTTTAAAATAAATTTAAAATAAAAACACTATTTTGACACAAATCTGGGAGTTTTTGTAGCACTATGTCACCCTACGCAAGTTGTTTTTCTGCATTGTGATAGACAAGTCCCATAGCAAAGCACTGTCTCCTGTTTATCATTAAAGATTGAATGTTCAAAATTTACGATACAAATTCATACAACCTTCCATCAGTCCACCGACAGACTCCTTCTCCAGTTTGTAAACCCATATAGTACCAAAATAGACCACTTGAACCATAAAGGCAGTAAAGAGTAAATCCTACGTCACCCAAAATTCAGATAAGCTGGAAAAACACATCACCTCCTTGGCCTTGTTCCTGCTCCTCATGTTCTCAGCTATGTACTTGACGCTCTCGATGGCCTGCCTGATCTCGGGCGACACCACGGAGAAGGCCATCACCGTGTTTATGTTCTGTGGACTCAGCTGATGAGGCACCTTTCCGGACTCTGGTGTCTCTGGGGTTTCCCTCATATGCTGGCAGGGGCAGGGACATTTCTTGAGAGTGCAGTCCTCCATGGCGGTGAGCGTACTGTCGCCACCGACCTCCAGACAGTTGAGAGGACTTCCTCCAACCTGTTGGAGGGACACAAGCACAACTAGAAACTAGACTCTGTTTGGGAAAGATCTTGGATGGCAACACATCACTCATTTCAGATTTGGTAAAACCAAATGACGCCGTAACACTCCCTTGTTGTCGTACAACATCAACTGGGGAATCTTAAGAACAGATTTTTCTGAAATACTAATAAGCAGAACCTTCTCAACGAGCTTATTGAATATATCCCTAGAAAACTATTCCCACCATTGTCTTCTGCTTAAACAGAGAATAATAGCACATTATCAGAAATCCTTCATTTACATGTTACAGTATGATTAAGTGCTAATTTATTTAAATGAAATGCAGAACACACTTTTATTCAACAACAGGCTGAATGTGTAGTGACATGAAAATGTGTGCACACCTTTTGGCTGAACTACTGCACAAGAAAAATCGACCTGCTGATTCAGTTTCACAGAAACACTAAAGAGTCTTGGAAAGTAAGAGCTTTAGCTTGATTCATTACATGCTGATAAACTGTTTACATTCTCATTGATTAGATCACACCTGACACAAGAGCCTCTGGTGTGCAAGCGGATGATAGGGAGAGCCAGCTTTGATAGGAAGACAATAAGATTCAGACTTCTGTCTTTAAACATTAATTCCCTGCTTTGTGTCCAATTTTCATCAGTAGGTACTTCCTGGTGAAACTCTGGGAGGGGAGATTCCTGCTACACTTCATAAAGTTTTTCTACCTTTCTGGTGAGTTAAAACTTGAGCAAAACATTATATTTTAGTCTAAACATGTAGGTTGATCCAGTGAGCCAAAGTAAACCAGGACGTGCACCAAGGACTGGTTGAGAAATAAGAAATGCAAAGTCTCGGGCCGAGTCAATGGCCAAGGTCATGTCAAGGACTAATAGTTGGATACAAGGAACCTCCTGGACATTATTCATCAAGAAGTAATAATTGTGTTCATACCTTAATCAAGCTGTTCTTCCTCTTCCTCTGTCCTTTCCCTCCTCCGCCTCCTCCTCCCCCTCCACCTCCTCCTGCTTCCCCACTGCCGTCCAACCACCCGGCCTTACCCTCCTCGTCTGTCGGCCTACGCATCAGCATGATCCTGGGCAGCACTTTGAGGAACACGGAGCGCACCCAGCATGGCATGGTGTGCGTCATGGGCGTGCGGTAGTGCACGTTCAGCACGAACACGGTTATGACAATGCTGAGTGTGACGAAGATCATCGTGAAGAGCAGGTACTCTCCGATGAGGGGGATGACCAGTGACGTTGAGGGGATGGTCTCTGTGATCACGAGCAGGAACACAGTGAGGGAGAGCAGGACGGAGATACAGAGCGTGACCTTCTCTCCACAGTCAGATGGGAGGTAGAAAACCAGCACTGTGAGGAAAGAGATGAGGAGGCAGGGGATGATGAGGTTGATGGTGTAGAACAGCGGCAGGCGGCGGATGTAGAAGGAGTACGTGATGTCCGGGTAGATCTCCTCACAGCAATTGTACTTGATGTCATGTTTGTAGCCTGGAGCGTCAATGATTTCCCATTCCCCGCTTTCCCAGAAGTCTTTGAGATTTACCTAGGAGATGAGTGGGATTTCCAAGCTGAATGATCTACTACCAGAACAACAGAAATTCATTTTTAAAAATGCCGTAAATCGTAGAAAAGTTTGATGTTGTTGGATGTTAAAAAGAAAGTACGATCAAAGTGAAGCTACTGAATAACCCACAAGTCTCATGAAAAATATTAAAGCGATACAGTCGAGTGTGAGCCGACTGACTAATGATTCTAGTAGGCTTCCTTGGTCTTCTCCTGTATAAGGTATACATGAAGTCATGTAAAGGGTTGCCAAATAAATGGTCTTTTGAGTTCTTTTGAATTCACTAACTACACTGAATCTGGACTCAGATTAAAACTGCAGAAATTAGTTTTAATAATTTTATAAACCTTTAACAAGGAGGTTTTGTCAACAGCTGATTGAAGACTCATGAAAAACTAAATGGAAACAAAGCAGCAGAGTCCTGACAGAAGAAAAGAAAAGAAAATCGATGGATTTAATGTTTGGAACAAAAATGTCTGTCTTAAGAGTCCCTTTAAAAAAAAGAAGAAAATAGTAAATCATTAAATATTTTCATGACATAATATTGGAAATTGACACACGTACTGACCTTGGACCCAATGAGTACAAGGTCAATCTTGGCTTTGTCATAAGTCCAGGAGCCAAACTTCATGGAGCAGTTTTGATAGTCAAAAGGAAAGTAGGTGATATCCATTGGGCACGAGGATTTAAAAATGGCAGGAGGAACCCAAGTGATCGTACCGTCATACTTCAGCAAGGCTTTGGTCTTATCCTCCACCAGGAAGTCACCCACAGCACTGCAAGGTAGCAGTATCAACACGTTTCCAAGACAGCAAGGGCATCAAAGGACACGACACAAGTGTGGTTGAAATAGGACACAAAGATGGGAGGAAGGGGATCGTTTCAAACAATAAGAGGAAAAATAGTAAATGGAGGCACGGAAGAAGAAATGTTAGGCTAGAAGTTCTTCATAGCACTGAACAACTGCCTTTGCTTAATCAATAAGTAATCATACACACATAGTTCTTTGTCACTTCAACGTTATGTCAGTACAGACAGATGATGATGAAGAAAGCCTCACTTGTTGTAGAGAACAATATCAGGTCTCCAAATCTTGTTTGATGGAACTCGGATGAATTCAATCCCATCAAACTCTGCTGGCGTCCATCTTAATTTGTAATCGTTCCAAATCTGGAAGAGAAAAATCCAACAGTCCTGTTTCTTCTTTTTTAATATACCTCTTAATATACACCTGTAGTACAACAGTTCGCTTTGGGAATAATACAGTTCGCCTGTATAATTCCAGAAATTCTAAGAATTTTTCTAAAATGATGCGACGAGGATCTGCTGAAGTGTTGGGATTCTTTGAGAATTTGTGAATTATATTTTTATTGCTGGTCTTCATATGAAGCAGGGTAGTTGACGAATCAGCTAAGGACATTAAATATAATTAATGTCTGAAAGATGAAGATCCAATTATGATTATGTAACCAGTGTGAAGCCTAGAAGTTGACATTCCAACAAGGTTTTAATCTTTGTGAGAGATTTTTTGTTTACATAAAAAAAACATATTCAGGAAGTCCCAAACCACATTCTCACAAAACCAAATGATAATATTGATACCATAAACATTATACATTTTCTAAAATTGTTTATTGAAGATGTTGCATCTCTTTGTAAATGAGGAAAAAATACTTGTAATTAGAACTTTTCCTCTGGCGTGGAAAGCCATGTAAGTACAACACCTTGCAGTAAAACTTCACTGATCATCACTCTTTCTTTTGCCCCTGCAATACTTTCGAAAAATGATTTTCTTGGTTCCAGTTTTTTTTTAAAGAATGAAGCTACCGACAGTAGTCATGCCTGCACAGACAGTATCTTCTTCACTGGCAAATAACAGATCATAATACCTGCAGGTAACGTTTTATGAGCTGTGGATCCATTAGTCTTGGCTATTTGGATGTCGCTGTAGATGATTTTCTTTTTTTTTTTTTATTAGCGAGACGGATTAATGCTCAGTCATGACCTGGAAGATTTTTAATTAACCAGTTTATGCTACACCGGTTTTTCCATTTATCCATCCACCGAGTTTGCATTGTGATTGCCAGGATAATTCTCGATGGACTCCGGTATTGTAGATTATTGTGGCCTTGAGATTCAATCAAAAGGCAAATTTACTGTCACAGAAAGCAGCTGGTGTTTTACTTGAGATTAAAACAAAATGCTGAGCTTGATTAGCTAAATTGTTACTTGGAAGTATGTACTGTATAGATCTGAAAAATCTAAATAAATGACATTAAAAATGTAATTAGAGATGTAAATTTAAATTCATCATAAAGTTATCTGTTTGATGGTGAGCTGTGGTACGTTTTCTTATGCATACTTAAGTAGTATTATTATTTATTTCTATTTTTGTAATACAATATGAGCATCTGACTTACAGTATGTGATAAACGTTTTATAATCCTTGTGTATTGTGAACTCACATGTCGGAGCCATAAATTTGTTTCCATGATTTGATTCACCTCATCCTGCACAGAAACAACAAAGAAAAATAAGAAAGTTAGATGTTGTTGTTGTGAAAACCCAACGACAGCATTGGAAATTATTAGGAATTTACAAAATTTAAAAATGACAAAAAAAAAAAAAACTTTTTTCAATTTGTGTTTTCTGGTGCAGAGGTTGTTGAGCTGAAAAGGTCAACTTAATAATGCATAGAGGTGCAGGTGTCAGTGCCTCGCTGCCATTCTCTATATTGACCATTCAGGTTTGACTTACAGTCCAGTGATTCTCACGACTGTACACAAGCCACCCAGAAAAGCCCATCAGCCAGAATCAGACCCACATTTGTCAGAGCTCACACACAGGTCAATACTCTCGCCTTCACCTTGCTGAGCATGCAGATACACCTACATTTGAGTCCAATCTGAAAAGTTTCTTCCAGGTATTTTTTTCTCCTATTCTGAAGATAGTTTTTGAGGGATTTAAACAAAAAAGTGCTTTCAGCCACCAAGTCACAAATTGCCATAGCAAATTCCAGATCCGCATCAGCCTCTGAAATTGGACAGACTATAGAAAGACTAGAATAACATTGAGCGTTTTTTTGCAATGCTTCTATTTTTTTTTTCTACCAAAAGCTGGGCAACGTGACGATCACGGAGAACACATTCCTCTTCACCAAGACCGATCATGACACAGAGTTTAAGTTAAAACATGACACGTGGATATACTGAATTCTCTGATATGTGTGTCTCCAAAAGAGGAAAAACTTACGACTTTAACAAGCTGTGAGATGGAGACCTCAAACTCCACGGTAACAGGATCAGAAACATTTTCCACTGGTCTGATGAACGGGTTGTACCGTCTAAAAAGCCTCTTGAAGAGCCGGTCCTCTGCTTTGGATGCGACACAGTCTGAAATTAGAAAAAGAAATGAAGAGTTGACAGAACAAATTGTGACCAAAAATGTAAAAAAAAAATAACAAAAAAACAAATTAGTAAAGAAAAGGGAGAGTTCAATGAGAACCTGATCAGTTGCAGCTATCCTCCACATCCCTCTACTGCCCATCTAATCAGACTCAGTCTTGTTGGGGACGACTTTGATTGAAGCCAGGCTTCGTCTTCTTCTAATTTTGATGCAGCTTCTCATTAATGAGCTTTTTGAGTTTCTCCCGTTAATGTTTCACGACATTTGATGAACCGTCTGCAAGCTTTTCTCTTTAGAGTATCTCTTCACTGATGAGATCAGAGTAAGAAGTTTTCTTTGAGCAAGTCTGAGATGAGGGATAACTTTCAGTGTTCAAGAGCCAAACGGATAAAGATATATTTACTTTCTTTGATAAACCATCTCAGGGAAATTATCGCCTCACTCAGTTCTTGGTGCCTCATTATATTTTATGTAAATGTAGTTGATATTTTATCCAAGTATAGATTCAATGGGTTAGGGTGACCCAGCTTTATCTTTATCCTAAAATTTGTTTAGTTTTTCCTTTTATTTTCAACATTTACTTCCTGCACTCCTTCCATGTTTAGCTTCATAACAGCTCCAAATCAAACCCTGTCAAACCAGGAGACTCTGCCTTGCGTAGGCACACATTAACTCTTGGATATATTTATTTGAGCAGGTATTAAAATACCCAGTATGTCTGGGATTAGTATTTACAAAAGAAGTAAATAACAGTGAAATAAGCTCTGACAAGCATATCCGCGCTCTCCTCCCGATTAATCCTGTACGGCGAGTTCATCCACAATATTTCACAATTAACCTAAAATAGGTGTGTATCTCCCTGAATTGCTCATTTCATGACTACATTTAGCAAAACATATTTGCAGTTGTATTTACAAATTGTCCTGACATAGGTTGCCTGAGGGACAATGTGAGGATGTCAACCAAGGGGAAGAAGTTATTTTGGCCCAGCGAAGAGAAGTTGGCTAAAGCTTGTGGATAAGATATGAAAGATTTGTTTAATTTGGTGCAGGCATAGAAGGTGGGGGGACCAATTACTTTCTCAGGTTTTTCCATAGTGTTTTAGATTTCTTTTGCTTGCTTTTCTTTGAGCAAAGCTTAAAACTTTTATGTGTGTGAAAATGAAATGAATGCTCAAAGAAAAGCCTAGTAATATTTTTAGAGGTTTCTATACAAATGATCCATATTGTAAGTACTTTTTTACTGTGTGTAAAAGCATTGGTGTCCCTATTATTTCTGGATTGATAACAAAAAACTACTCTGGTGGAAGGATTTGAAAGGCCTGTTCCTTTGACGATGGGCAGCAAAGAGCAGAGAAAACTAAAAGAACATACGAATAGGAAGCATGATATGAAAAGAAATCTTGGGTCGCTTTCAGTGCTTGGCTCCATAACTGTTTAAAATACCATCATCATTTGTCTAAATTAAGCTGGGGAAGAAAAAAAAGCAAAAAGAATAGAGTTAATTGGAATGGACTGCTGATGAAATCCTGCCGAGCCTTTTTTCATCAAGTTCCCGCCTTCAAACACAGAAGATAACCTCTCGTCACTGCACACAACAATGACACCATGAACCCTGCTGATGATGAACTCTCGATGGCAGGCCTCCAGAGACAACACAAGAGTCACCCAAAAATAAAAATGAACACATATGAAAAAAATTATTTAAAAAAACTAGATGAAAAGAACAAGTGAAAAAGGAGAGAAGCTGAAAGCAAAGCCTTCTTAAGATGTCACTCAGGAGACTCAGGAGCCTGCTGTCTGATAGATGCTGAGTATGTGGCAGCGCTGCTTTAAATGGAGTTTTAAAACGCAGGAAAACTTCGGCGGTGATTCCAGCTCTGCAGAGAAAAACATTAAGTTGTCATACAAAGTTACAGAAAAGAATTTATAAGATGACACCATATAGTGGGAAACATAGTCTGTATTTTTAAATCAAAGAACAACAAAATGCTGTCATGATGCCTAATCTTTGTTTTAACATATAGAGGAGAGCATCCACTGATTAAATCCACACACATCATATTGGACAAATAACATTTAATACGGCAGGATATTTATGTGGAGAATCAAAAAAGACCATATGAAGAACATCCACAGGTGAATTACTTCTAACCATCAATAATTCATATGATGAAGTATCAATAATTACGCCTAGATAAATATACATGTTGTGATAAAGACTGTATATATATATATATATATATATATATATATATATATATATATATATATATATATATATATATATATATATATATATATATATATATATATATATATATAGGCAAGAAACAATTTTTTTTCTACAAAAGCACTTGAAATGTGAAATTATTTGCCAGTAAGCAAACATTAAAAATAGGAATACTGCTTTTAACATATTCCTGTCCGTGTACCTATATTGAAGAAGTTAGCAGCACTAACCCTCCTTTACAACTAGTCATGGTTGAGCTGCTGAACAAATTAATTTCATCAAACGATTTTTTCCTCTACTGAAGAGGCGATCGAGGGAGAAGAGCAAAGGAAGGATGAACACAGCATAAACAGCCAATCTCTGGCATTTTCCCATAAAATGTTACTTTTAAAGCTGAAGGGGAATAAAAACAAAAGCAGGAAATGATATATAAATACGGATCTTTAACATTTCAGAATCTTGGCCAACAGGTAAGATGAAAATGAACAAAGTGCGTTCTTTCCTCAAATTTTTCAAATTGTTCTTGTAATTTTTGCCACAATTTTCGACAAAGAAATGCCTCACAAAACTTGAGACAAAATTCAGATTTTATGTCTCCCTTGTTTTATATTTGTGATAGTTTTCTATGCAGGGTCAATTCAGTGTGTGTGTTTAAAACTGTGGAGAGTTATGAGCACGTTTATAAAACCTTTAAAGGTTTTTGTTTTAAAACAAGAGAAGCAACTTTGCTTTAAACTAGGCTGAAATATCACCAAAATTATTCGAAACAAATTTTGTGAAATTTGTTGTCACAAAATGACAAGAAATTTCTTACACTTTGCAAGACTAAAATCCAACTCAAAACCCCAAAAATAGTAACCATACAAGGAATGTTATTTAGTTGGTCTAGTAACATAAACAGTTTCAAATTGCATACATTTTGATTTGATCTGTATTTTATTGACATTTTCTCCACAGACTGAGAAAGAAGGGTTTTGTGAAAAGACAGCAGTCTGACAGACATAATCCGAAAATAAGATCGTTGCACTAAGTTTGATTGCCTTTAATGAAAGTATATGGAAAGTGTTGATGTTTTTGTCATTTTTAAAAACTGTGCAGGTCATTGCTGTCTTTGTGATTTTTTTTTTTTAATGGCCTTCAGGAGCTCAGATTAGGATGGAAATGTTTTGTGGAAAAGATACGTGGAGGAGTAATTAGTAAATCAAGGAAATGCATTTCCATTTGATTCCATGAGTGTCTCACTGTAAATCAATTAAATGTTTCCAGACAAACATTATGTATCTACCAACCTTGAGCTAGGAGCTAATGAACCACTGCTAAGACTCTTTGATTGAATTACAGCTGGGCCTTTTGCATTGAGTTTATGCGTTTCTACATGACTGTGTAGGTTTCTAATATTGCTCTGGTTTCTTGCCACAGTGGAGGTTCTTCTTATAACCTTTGATTTTTAGCAAAAATCTCCCAAATTTGCAGGTCACATTAACCGTGTGCGGGCCTTTGAACTTTAATTATCAATTTTTATACATGATGTGCTTTACAAAAAATAAAAACCTGTATCATTTGAACTATTTCCGGACTGACATGAATGGGCGATTAACAGGCTTCTGCAGCACATGATGGCACGCAATCATTTGAATCATTTGTGCTGGAACAGAAACATGGAAATACGCACATCTTTGTCTGAAAGGAAGTCTAATTGTACTTCCATTGGACGCTCCAATAATAGTGTGTTTGGTGTGAATATACCATTACGGTGTGTTTCCCACAAGGCAATAAACTACTTTAAATATGCAAGATTTACAGTCCTGTCACCACTAAGTTACCGGTATGACTTTCATACCTGTATTGACCACATTTCAAGCTGAAAAAACAGGTCTTGCAAATATCGGCAGGCTCATGATTTGCTGTGCCAATATATGCATCCCTGCTAACTCAGACAAATAGTAAGTCTTTCTACATTAGCACACCTATCCTGTGAACTACTGAGTTTCATGTCAATAGGATTGTATTTGTGGGAAGTAGACAGATTTACTGTTTGAAAGAGAATTTACAGTTAATGCATTCCACTGTATATTTTCAACGGTTCAACTGAACATGCAGGCAATGCCAAAACCAGTGCAGAAAGCCAATCTAAGTTATGGAGGCTTCATAAGCAGCTTAGTTCTGGATCTAGATGTAAAAACTGATTCAGACAAGAAGACGTTATGCCAGCATTTAGGCAGCAATTATAAGAAGCATACAGTGTAAGTGCTGCATCCTTGAGTAGATGCTGTTAACATTCCAATTTTAAAAGGGAAAAGAAATGTTTTCAGCTCCAATTTGACCTGAACTTGACCCGAAGAGATTAAATCACAAGACGTGTGGAGGTCCGCCTGCATCTTTGGAGCTTTTACTGGGAGGAAAACGTGGTTTACAGTCTTGCTGGCATTTGAGAGTGGGGGTGAGTTGCAGCAAGTGACGGAAAACAAGAGAACATTTTATGGGTTGTGTTGAAGGGTTGCATTAGGGAGCCATTTGGCCTCCATTCTCCCCTGAGCATGCAAATGGTTTCAAAGCAGACTGAGTAGGAGAGACACAGAGAGGAAGGGAAACATAGATGGGCATGAATGAGGAGGTCTTCTTCTCTCAAACAAATAATGCATATTTATGATAAAAACACGCCGGTAGCAAACGCAAGGAATTCATCTGAAGACCCGAAGAAAAGAGAACAAAGCTGAAGAACAAAAAGACGACAGCTTCTGAACCTTGGAAACTTGTGAGTGAAGAGTTGAGCTGGGATCTTAAGATTGTAAAAGAAAAGTAAAAAGAAACGGAGAAGGTAAATAAATGCAGCACACAAACTCAGCAGGTTAGTCTCTTAATATCCTTCCAAGAAAAGCTGTCGATACTAGCTTTTCTCTTTTGATCATTAAAGACAAATACTGCTTCTATTATCAGGAAGAAACTGGTATGGAAATCAATAGATAGATTTGTTTTGGTTAAATGCAAAAAAAAAGAGAGATCTTTGCGATATTTTTAATTTGTGTTTTACTTTCTTCAAATTCAGAAGCTTTCAGTTGAAACCAAATGTTTATATGTCGTGAATAAATAATACACACATTTTTTTTTTCTTACTGTCTGAGGAGAACTCACACTAAACTTTTTTTTTCAGATCAGTCAGAGTTACCTATTTGCTAAATGCCACAAATTATTGATGACAAAGTGAAATTTCCCATAAGCTAGCTTAGCTGAATAGTAGGTTCAAAAGTTTTATGAAAGCTTTGCATTTTATATATTTTCTTTTTGTTATATGGCTGTTTTGCTTTTCCCATTGGAAGACCATAATTACATCTACATAAAACCTGAAATGAGTCAGAGTCCTTATTCTTTGGTTCCAGAATTTTCTGCAAAGTAAAAACCGGTCTCAAATGTGGCATCTAGAGAAGTTGTGTTGAAATGTAAGCTGATATAACCAGCAAGTTCAGTGGCAGTGAAACTGTGAGGGCTGCAGCAGGATATATACCTTTGTGACTCAGTTTGTAAAAAATAAAATAAAATAAAATACCACACACCCTTTTGTTCTGTGTTGCTGTTTTATAAATACTGTGACTTTAACCTTGCTACCACACAACTGCACAAACACACATCACAGCTCACCAGATCATCAGTCATGCATTTAAATCTGAATGCCTCTGTTTCAACACAATGAGCAGTTAGACAAACACATTGCTTAACTTTAAAATCACCTCAGGCATCGTTGCAGTGCACCATCTATGTATATTCAGTTTTTTTGGGGTCTTTTTCTGTAATTATATGTGCATAAAAGTCACCGATAAACATCCTCCATCTCTACATCAGGCTGTGAAGAACAGGATGCGATGTCTATTTTCATGTAAGGAACAACCCTCACATTGATCGCTGCATCGCAGTGCATCAGTCTGTGGTCTGACGTTGCATAATGCATGAGCGTGGCATACTCTCCCATGGACTTACACAAACATTTTCCTGCGGTGAAAAAGTTTGTTGAGTGCACAAGTTCTGCTTGAGGAGAACGAGGGACTGTCTGTTTTCTACAGTTCTAAAAGAAAATATCTCTATGTTGCTCCAAATTTATCTGTAACACCACTAACTCTGAAGAGCAGCTTCTGCATTCTGAGTGTCAGTCGTTCGTTTGTGGTCATTACCATTAATTAAATAACTGGATCACTGCTGCGACCTTAATTGCTTTTGTCAGAAGAAATTATTCAAATGCTTTTGTTTCTCTCTCTTTGGGATGCTGCAATGATGTGTATCATGTTTTCTTCTTCGTTTTAGTGGCTATAATTTGATAATAAAGGCAGCAGACTGAAGAAAAATCAACACTTATACGCTGTCAGTACAGTTAATTCATTATAATCAATAATTTGTTGTTTTAATTATCCCAAGAGGACTTGAGTCTGAAGTCAGAGGGACAACATTTCAGTTATCACGCTGATGAATGAATCATTCTTTTCATTCTTTTTGTCTCTGGAGAAAAGAATGAATCAAACCACTGGAGACAGAGAAAGAAAGAGTGAATATTCTTTTTTAGGGTTGATGTGAAAGATGATAAACCAGAAGAGAGACCATATGAGGCCACCATGATGAATCTGCTGTTTTTGCCCCAGGAGCAAATGTTTACCATGAGACTTTGATGCGCCATGCTGTCACAGTGCAAACATTCCTGCAGTTCAGAACCAAGTTTTCTCCAGCAGTGGTCAGCGATTAGGATCCTGTGTGGTTTCCAGGATCCTGAGATCATTTTCCCTTTATCCCACCTTTTTGCTAAAATTCTTCTCCAGACCCGAATCATATTCATTTCCTCTCATTTTTGACCTAATGATTCAGTTTATTTTCTACTCTTCCCATTGATCCCTTCCCTCTCTTCATCTCTGCCTGCCATCATCAGTCTATTTTTTTTCCTTTGACTCCTCCTTACATTTGCTCCTCTTTCATGCTGTGACTTTTTCCAGACATTCTTCTTTTCTTTCTTTGTTTTTTTTCCTTAATTGTTTGTGGCCCTCTGTCATCCCCCGAGCCCCCTGACAAGTCTCAATTTTCTTGAAAACAAAACCAGCTCGTTTCTTCTCCTGACGAATAATTTCACAAAAGATTCAAGGAAAACTGTGTGTACGTATCCAAATGACTTAAAAATCCATGTGCAAACACTCTCACCATTTCAGAAAACTGTTTATATATATATAACTGTGAGTATAACTAAGGTCATCATATTTATGCGGTGACATTCAGCGCTGTGAGAAGGTTTTATATGGTGTGCCTTCAGCTGACTCAGTCTCCTGACTGAAGACATCCCATCTACTCCTCTGCCAGAGTAAACTATGTGCCCTGTATAAATCAGCACCTCATCAGAGGGGCTGGCAGAGGGGGGGACATGGAGAACACGTCCTCTAAAGAGATTATTAATCTGCATGGCTTCATAAAATCTTGCCTCCGAGCAAAATTTGCATTCATCAAAATTCATTTGCCTTCACTACCATTCTATATTCCAGTTCAGTGACCCAGTTTGTGTCAATGGGAGGAGTTTTAATGGTGATAATTAGGATCCAAACGGGGCAGATTGGTGCGCGGTGATGGAAATGACATTTTGAAGAGATTCGAAAAGAAACGCAAAGCAAGAGGCTAAAACTTCCAGCCACTAAAACGATTCAAACAAAACTTCAAGAGGAGGGATTCTTCATGGAGAAAGGATGCATGCTGAACAGACTCCAGCGCGCAGAGCGCGCAACGTATTGCTAATTAACCCCATGCATTTCATCTGAACTCGTGATCGCTCTTTTAGAGCTGAAAATCTAGCCGATCTGCAGTCCTGCTTTAGGCAAAGACCACTCACCTCGAGTCTGCAAATCGATCAGAAGGAACAGCAAATTCAACCCCAGGGAAGGTTTCATCCTTCTCTCCTGTGTGCCCAATCAAGGATCCACCTATACTTACAAAAGAAAAATGGAAAGAAGAAAAAAGAGAAAAAAAGAACCAGGACAGCAGTCAGTGCAGTCAGTGGGGGAGACAAATAAGATGGAACAGGATGAGAAGATGTTCCGTGTCTCCCCTGGTGCCGTCGCTCTCACTGTGGCCGCGCGCTCCTGAATCCAAACTTGACTTGGTTCGTCCCTCCCATATGAGCGCTCAGCTCCCCTCTGGCGCATCCACTCTGACTTCAAGCGCAGGGAGGAGATTAGATTCGGGGAGCGGACAGATCTTTAAGATTATATCTAGGAGTTTCACAAAACAACAACAAAAAGGATTGACTGGTGTTTTAAAACTTTGAAGAAAATCGCATTGCTTCTCTCCTTTTTGTTGTTGTTAATATTATTCATTCCTAAAGTGCAGCTTTTCTGATGCCATCGAGTTCTTGAAAGTCTCTTCAAAACGTGTCGACAGATGTTAAGATTGATGACTTGCAAAAGCAGAGGGAAAAAATCAAATAAAAAGCTCATTTTTTGTGCTATGGAAACGCAAATGTTTGTGGTTTGTGGACGGACTTTTGAACTTCTTTTCACTTCACATCCGCGATGGGTAATTATTAATAGTATCACAATCATCGTGCGTCACACAACTGTCACAAGCTGAGGTTCAACGCAGAGTGCTGTGTCTGTTCCCAGCCACTAAACAGCAGCACTGCGCCGCGTTGCGCAGAGGAGGCTGCGCGTCTCATCGCTCGCTGTGAGCTCCCCTGGTTACAGGCTCCTAGATCAGGATGACTGGGTTCATTTTAGTCCCTGACTTTTCAGTCAGAATGGCTGCGTTGCACTGAACCATGTTCAGACAATACTTTTAGCAGAAAAAAAAGCACACAGAGCACAATCAAATCACTATTTTAATGCCGCCTGTAATTATTTTTTTAAAGAAATACTGAATATTGCTGGAAGAAAAAAGAAACTGCACCATCCTCACTGTAAGACCTGGGGATACTTTTCTTGAGCAGTGACAAGGCAGCTGGTCAGAGTTGATCGGACGGTGGATCCAGCTGGATAATCCTGAAGAAAACCTGTCAGAGGCTCCAACAACTTGAGACTGGAATCGAGGTTACAAAGTATTTACTCAAGATCTGAATACAAATACATTTGTCATGGTTTCATCTAAAAACCTACGGAGAAATATTGAAGATTATGTTTGTAATGACGTAAACGGAGAGAAACTTTAAAGCACGCGTACACTTTTGCAAGGCATTGCAAACAACATTTGAAATTTAGAGACAAATTCTGACTAAATGTAACCAATAAAGACACATACTTTGATTCAATAATGGCAAACTCTGTGCTAGCAGCAGAGCAACTATATTGTCTTTTTCCAGATGAATAATTTAGCCTGTGGTCATCTTCCTCCAGTAAGAGTTGACTCTCTTGAGGCCATGTGACGTGAATTATAACTCAGCCCAGAAATCCTCGCTGAATGTTCACTAGAGGTATTACAGTGTCACATCTTCACCATGAGGCTTTAACTACCAAGATGGACATAGTGGAGAAAAATAACACTGTAATATGAAAAGAGATTTCCTGAAACAATAAACTTCTATTAAGGTTGTGGTTTCGAAACATTTCTGATTCCCAGATGTTAGCAGTGCACATCTATCACCCCGTTTCACCACTTCTTTAGCTGCCCATTTCTTCTCATGTCAACACATCCAGAACTATCAAAACAATGTTTTTTTACTTCCCTTTGTTCAGCAGGAATCACTTTACGCAGTCTGATCCGGTGAGACGGTAGCTGCACAAAAGGGACGGATGAAGAAAGAAACAGGACAAGCGCAACGTGGATAATGTGCTTTTGATGTCTCCTGCTTTTGCCACCCGACGATTGCTGTGTTCGCAGTGTGGCGTCATGACACACTCATCTTTGCCAGCCACATTACAGAAGCGGTATAAGAACGGGGGAACTGGGCTCAAAATCAGTGTTTCTGCCAGGACTCTTTGACACGTTGCCTCAGAACCTGTCCTGCTGCCCTGCCATGATATGTTTAATTCACATCTGTTGTGAAAGCTAAGTCCCGAATCCTCAGATCCCCTGTTTTTCGCTGGATTTTCTTACAGTTCATGCTTCCATCTCCTTCCACTTTGCATACCTGCGGCACACTTCTGCACCTGCTCTCGTTCGTTCAGCTCAAATGTGTGCCATCTTTCTTCCTCTAGTTGAACACAGCACATAAAAAAATATCCATCTGCCTCGCTGGAACTTTTAGCCCGTGCTGAATTATTCACACCCACATATCTGCACCGCATCCCCATGACCCAGAGAAGAGCTTTTATTTTGAACCCTAAGCAACAAAATCCAGATGGGGTGGTCCTCCCTCCCCCTTGGTATGATTGTGTCACTGAGGAGAATTTAATGGAGTAAAAGGCTGAGGGGTTTCGAAGAGATTCGAGGAGGTAAGAATATAAATATCTATACTTTACTATGAAGGTGAGGAGGGAAATACCAGCATTGGAGTGGTGAAGAAATAAGGTTGGGTCTGCCACAGGGAGAGCAGGAAGTGTGATTCTCAAAAGAGATCAAAAGTTCTCCATTCAACACATCACATCAGGTAACTCAAACAGCTGTCTTCTCCTGCAAACTGCTGCAATCTGATGCAATAAATGGCAGATATTCAGTTTGCAGGAAGAAGACAGCCTCTGACAACAAGAGGAGGATGAAGAAATCCTACCGGCAGTCACAACAAAACAAAATACAACAGGCGACTGAGCAATGAGCACAGGCACAAGAAATTTCCGTGTCCAAGAAAATGATGAAGAGACAAGAAAAAAAAACATGCAAGAAAACCTGGTAAATTAAAACAGCAAAACTGGAATAAAGAACAAAGTGAGACTCTGTGAGACCCTGTACACAGTTAATAAATGAGGATCAGACGTGAAAAGGAGGCGGAAAACATAACTAATGAAATCAAACCAGAGTGAAAGAAAGCACTGCAGCAAACAGCCAAGACAATGTCATCAATAGCTAAACAATTATCTGTAGTCAATGGCATCCACAGTCTGTTCTTATTTGTAACCACACCAAAATTCAAATCTCTTATGTTGATGGTCCAAAAAAAAAAGTAAAGAAATTAGTCATTCTAAGCCAAATGAAATTGTTTTTTATAAATGTCTTAGTTGTTGCTGTTTGGTATAAATTAATCACTAAAGGCTGATTTTTTTATCCCTCTCCTGTGTCTTATGATCACTGCAATTCATTTAGTTTAAGATTTTTTATTTTCCTTTTACCTAAACTTGATCCAAACTTTTTTGTGTTTTTATCAAAACACTCGCACCAATCTCGCTCCTGAAAAGAGGATTAACGGTCTGATGCACACACCTACACACACATGCATATGTTCATTTGTTTGACTGAGTAAAGCAACGATTTGTTTGTCTCTGCCCACGCAGGCCTATACGGAGTTTATTGCCTCTTACGACGCTTTATACAGACCCAAGTAAAGACGTACATAAGAATGATTTACATCCCAGCAGCACGCATCATATTTTCCTACCCAAATGCAAACTGAACACTCATGGACGTTCATACTTGTGTGATTCAGTGCTTCTTCTTCCTTTCCTTTTTTTTTTGGTACTTGTTTTGAATTTCCCTCAGGACAGAAAAATGTGATGTCTGCAATATGTTGTCCAAATGTAGGTTTGCTCACTCTCACTTTAACAATAACAAATCAAACTGGTGACACCAAGTTTCTTTTTTGTTTTTTGTTTTTTTGTTGTTGTTTTGTAACCACAATCATCTTGACATGAACATGCAAAGAAATTGCTGAGCTTTGCATTGGGACTAAAATAAAGCTCATTAGTTTAGAAATTGATGGCTGCATTTTTGTGAAAGAGATGCTGCTGAAGCATAACCAAAGCCCTCAAGTAAACTTTGCTTGTCTACATTGAAGTAAAATTACATCTGAAACTTTCAGACAAATACAACAAATACATCCTGTGAGACTCTTCAGATGCTTGAATAGAGAAGAATTTGACATTCTGGGATTTGACTAGAGTACAAAGAAAATGAGATGTTTGTTTTTCTTTGTGGACTTCTGTCTCAGAGCTGTGTTTTGTTGTTCCTGGTCATCCAAGAATATGTCATTCTCACCCTAATACACACACACACACACACACACACACACACACACATACACACACGCAAGCTGACATGCAGAAAGATCAAATGCCAAGTAGAGCTGGAAGGGGGTTATCCAGAGAAACACTGACATAAGTCATCATGCTAACCTGGCGATATGTGCAGGGGACACAAAGACACACAAGAGCTCAACTGGGCGAGAGAGAGAAAGAGAGAAAGGGAGGTGGGTGGGGGGAGGGGGTTCTGTCGTCTGAAACTGGAGTGTACATGCTGCACATGTCGAGTGCCGCATCATTTTTCATTTTCCCTTTTCGGCTTTTATCTGTTTGAAGCTGGAAACTTTGCGGTCCGTGTACTGAACGCCACCGTACACATCTGCATGCACACAAATGAGCAAGAGTTCAGATTTTCCACGCAGCTTGTCCCACGTTTTCAGCTGTTTGGGTGTGCAGCGTGAAAAAGGACAGATAATTGGGTTTATCACAGGCATATTTTTAGTCCCCCGTTTCTCCACACACAATTTACAGAAGAACGCAAAAGAGCAGAAGGAAACTGCAGGGAGAAAGAAAAAGAGGAAGGAAAAGGAGAAGGAGGGAAAAATTAAAGACGTCAAACAGGGTAGAAAGAGATGGGAAGGAAAATGGATAGCAAAGATGGAATCTGGCAAGTGTTCAAGTTTTGTGGAGTGTGTGAAGGGAATGCTGTTCCCACCCTCAGGCAGTGTGCAGGTTGATAGATCTGACGCGCCCTCTGGTTTACCGCAGGATATGTTGGTGGTGGTGTGTGTGTGTGTGAGGGGCTGTGGGGGTATCAAGGGGGGTAATGTGTGCAGGGGTCCAAAATCCTGCTTATTAAGGAGAGCAGCCTTAGCCAATGTAAGCAGCACAAGGATCTAAATTACCCGGCGTGATTCAGATGTCAGCTCACACTGACACATAGCAGAAGACGTGGAAATCTAAATCTCCTGGTCGCTGTGTTGGCATCAAGCATCAACGTCAACTCCAGGGCAGAAAAAGAACAAAAAGTATCTGGAGCAAAAAGAGATTTGCTTTCTATCTGTACTTTAGTTTGGACATTGTTTTTGGGAGTGTCTGTCCGTTCGTCCCTTCCTTCCGTTCCTGAATGAAACCTCAGACTCAGTGACATTCTCTTTTTATTTTGGAGATCACAAGATGAGCCCGTGCTGGAAGGGATATGTCGTGTGTCTGACCATGTGTCTCCTCCCAGACATCAGATCCACCTCCGTTCTGCAGCTCCTGGCGTGGGTTTCCCATGCAGCCATGTGAAGGAAGACAACTACCGGTATGTCTTTTATGCTTTAAGCTTTAAGCGCTAAAATGCACTTTTATGTATTTTTTCACATGGAGTTAAAAATCAGATTTCTTTGTTTCAAAATAGATCTGTGATTTTCTTATATTATTGAAAGCTTGGAGATTATTTTTTTTATCCTTTTGAATTTTGTTAACTTCCACTTGAAGAAACAAATCATTTAAACCCTTTTTTCTTTCGACCTTACATGACACCAGAGGCCCAGAAGAAGAGAGACGACGTTTAAGGGTTTTATGGCTGGAGTCATCTTCAAAAGAAAAGATTCATTGTTAGTTTTTCCTTGTTTTTCAGAGGTTCTAATAAGACAAAACATAAACTATTTTATTCAAAATCCCTTCCACAAAATGATTTGAAGAGGAAATGCCAGAGGTACTTATCTTATTGGATCAACTGTGCCTTACTCTGCGGTTCCAGGTCAAAACTGATTTATCGCGGACAAACAACTATTACATCCAGTTACTCAAACATTTTTACTGTAAAGAAGATGAGTGTAGAAAACACTCCTTGTTTTCGTGGATAAATGACCCAGGCAGCAATTCGCCAATTCAAGCAGAATCATAATGTGGTAAAAGCAATAATCTGTAGCACACGGCTTTCCCAGCGAGTCTGAATCCGTCTTTCACTGACACACAGCAACAAGGATCTGTCACTGTCCTTCCCCTGCCAACCTTATGCTGATATCAAACACACTTACACACACGATATATACAAACACACAAACCTAGAGGGGCCACAATAAATATGCGGTTGGTCGATAACTGTCGACCAGAGCAGAGACTCGTAGTTTTTTGCTGATGTGCTGACTTCAGGTCAGAAATCAGTGCTCCACTTTTGCTGAGATAAAGAATTTGGACCCTTTAAATCTTACCATCATCCCCAGTGTGTGTGAGTGTGTGTTCATCCATGCAATAGTGCATTAAAAGTAACTGTCTGTCTTCAGGGTGTGCTCTGAGACAGAGTGTCATTATTTTCACCATAGAGCGCCTCCTGGTTAGCTGATTGGGTTCATAAATTGGAAAATGGACGCTCACAGACTCACAAAAGCACTCGGCTTCAATGGAGCAAAGAGCATTTATTGTTTTTGTCGATTCCAACTCACCACCTCAGCCATTAACACACTTTCTGAACCTAAAGACCGAGCAGGACAAACCCATGAAGCATTTCAACATCTGCAGGAAGAAAGCAGCCATGGGCACATTCATAAACCTTCACACACACGCTGACTGATGCTGACGTTTTCAATCAAAACCTGCACAAAACAACTGCGGGAATGTTAAAGGCAGCACACCATATGCCTTCATTTTGGTCGCTATGTTCAATTTTCCAATGTGGGAATTTACTTTAGCCACTTTTTTGTCAACCTTGTCAGCCCACCTGAGCCCTGAGCACATCGTTTAATGTCACCTTGTCACAACTCATACTTACAGAGTCTGCAGAAATTACATTATGACATAATGTGCCCTTATTTCTCACCCCCAGGCTCTTAATGTGACAGCAGCTCTTCCACATTTACTCTGCTATCAATATTTAACACCAAAGAAGTGTTGGCAGACATGAAACCTGCTCTGTGATGCAAAGATTAAAAAACTTTGCACGTGACATAGCATGTCAGGGTGGAGTTTTGTTCACAAAGAGGGCTTGTGATTAATCATAAATCTTGTCAAATGAAAATCTGTCATGCTTGTGTATTATACATGGAACACTTTGAACAACTGAAATAAAGTAAAAACATTTTGTCAGCACGTCATTGTAGAGATTCAACACTGATTTTTTTATTATTCAACATATTGTATTAGAACACAGAGTGAAAAATCTTTTAAAATCCAATCATCATATTTTACACGTGCAACATCGCATTGTGTACATTTGCATCGTTCCAAAAAGTGTATCTACTACCCTCTGTTTAAATCCAAAAGGTAAAAAAACAAAAGGAATAGACAAGACCCTTTCAAAACTTCTTCTGTCTGTAATGTGTCCTACATCCTGCACAACCAACTTGTTACAAAAATGTGCCGCACACACGTCAAATAATTTCTGTGGATCAATCTTAAGAAAGTAGCCTCAAATCACAAATCAGCTTCCAACGTGTTACTCTGTGGGTACGGTGGCTGCAGCCAATCACTCTTTCACTGCTTTTACATCACTTTTTGTCATGTAGTCTTTCGGGGGAAGTTTTTGTGAGTCGACTCTGAGATTGTCTGACAGGCTTTTTGACTTAACATGTCACAAAATGACAGACAGACAAAAAAAACTAAGTAGAGAAGAAAAACGCAGAGACGGAGACCAGTAGCAGAACAAGTAACATCCAAAGTAGGACAGACGATGGAAATGAAGATCTCTCTACGGGAATGGTGGAATAACAGTTTTATAATAAAAAAGAAAGGTGAAAAAGACACAATGTTCCAGTTGTTTGTCATTAAATATTGGTTTGAATGGGCAGAAGAGAAATAATTATCCACTGCATCATCTCACCGTGAACAACAGGCTTACATGTTCAGAGAGTTTCTATATGCGCAACGTAGCAAATGGCAGATGACTTCACAAGTGCCACAGTGTGAATATACCAGTCTGTCTTTGACTTGAACCCAGTCCAAACTTTCGCAGTGGTTCAAAAGTATGAAAATCTGTCGGAAAGTAGTCATTTCTGGCCAATTCATCAGTTGTAAAATCTGCCCTTCCTCTTGGACGTGTGATCAAGCTTCAATCTTTGCACAAACACTGGTTCACATTTAAAGTCCAACGTTGCGAATGCAACAAGTGCAGCAGGCTGCCCCGATCAGGCTGAATGCGCTTCAGATCTGACCAGCAGCCGAATTACGTTTGACAAGTGTTCAGCTTCTTTTCTTCTTTTGATGCCGATTCGACTGTTTCCTCTTTGGTGCCACAGAAATCCTAGAAATCTCCATATCTGCAGGGAGAAAAAAACAGCATGATAAATGCATTTGTGTTTCTATATATAACTTTTTATGCAAGAAACACTTCGAGTTAGATATTCCTGGGAGTATTTGGCATGAAGAATGTTTGAATGATACTGTTTGAATGTTTTCTACTGAGTTGCGAATGAAATATTGAATGTGACAATTACACCTGCGAGACTTTTGATTCTACCAAAACATAAAAACAGTTTTGTTTTAGGCCATTCTTCTTAGCTTCTTCAACTGCTTTGATATTTTGTCAACATCAATTGTCAAGTCTAGTCAAAAATTTTGGATTGGCTTTAGGTCTGGACCTGGAATGACATGATGATTTTATCTAACATGTTGCTATTGTGGCTCTGCCCGGCCTTTCTGTCTAAGGGAAAGGAAAGAGCATGCACAGCCTTCCTCCATCTGTATTGTTTGGCATGTGGGCTGAAAAGTTCAATTTGTCTAATTTGAAAGCATCCCATTCTTCATTTTATTGCACATTTAATCGCAAATATTAGATTGAATCTGCTTTGTTTCTCCGTCATTATGCATTCATGGTCCATTCATATGCAACTTTACAACTGTTAAAAGTCATTTTTATTCCTTCGTACCACTACCCACATCAGTCATAAAATGGATGATCTGAAGAAATAGATATTTAGGAATCAGTGGGGAAATTAAATCTAATGACAAACTGTTACTCACATTGAAGACTCAAAGCACTTTATTTTATGTGATTTTAAGTCATTTTAACTGGAGCCTTGCTAGTTAGACATTATGTCAGAGTTCATCTGAATGAGTCTGCCTGACTTACTCTGTGTCATCAGCTGTCGGCGTGTTGTAGCTCTGGAAGAGAGGCTGCATGAAGAGTCCCAGAGTTCCCGCCACACACACCAGGATGAAGATCCAGAGAAAGAGGCGATCTATCACCATTGCAACGTACTTCCAGTCCTCGATGATCTGGAAGCCATGTCAGAAAGTCAAAAGTCGTGACGGGTTCATTTGAACGTGATCCATAAGTTTTAAACCAATCACCCTGAAGTCACTTTTGATAGATTTTTGCACCAACAGTTTGTCTGTTTTTAACATTACTTTAAAATACTTGCTCTAAACAATAAACTCTCTGCTGAGAGGTTTATAAGATAGGAAAAACAGACTAACAGGAGTTTGAACATCTGATGTCATGAAGGTTTTCAGGTCTGTTGCCAAAAATATCTGTAGCTATAAAACATATGACTGATATTAAGAGGCTGGCTAAAAAAAATTCTGTCATGATCAACTGTGGCTGCATAACATGCCGGTTGAAAGGAAAGTTCAAAAACCCAAGGCCACAAAAAAGGGGTTGGTGCCAGCTCCTTGGTAAATCTTTATGAAAGAAAGACCAGATTTCTATTTTTATTCATCACTTTAAGCATTCTGACTGTTCCAGACTGAGACAAAGGTTCGCAGAGAGCCTGAAGCTTTGACTTGAACAAAATTACAGCACCTTGGAAAGGAATTGATGCCTTTTTAACTTTTTACCAGTATTCTGAAGATAAATTTTATTAGAAACTTATGTGATAGATTGAAACAACATAGTGCATTTGTGAAGTGAAAAGAAAATTACACACAAGTTACAGAATGTTGAGAAGTGAAAACCTGAAATGTGTGGCATGCTTTTGGATTTCACAACTTTTTATTAAAATTACAGCAAAGTTTTTTTTTTATTTTGCCCCTAAGTTTATAATGCAACTGTACTTTAAACTTTACTTTTTTTTTTTCAAATTTACATTTAAAAATTCCCCTCATCCCCCAAAAATGCTAGATGTTCCCCAACTTTGCTTAATACAGTTTTTTGTGGAATTGCCCATATAAATACATTGAGGTTGTTATGTAAAATAGTTCAGGAAGTAGGAATATTATTTCAAGGCACTGTAAACACTGTATGTTTAGAGAGTCAGACTTTTTCTATAGATCTAAAATGTCACACATTAAAATTAGTTTTTTCATCTTTTCTTCAGCCCCAGCGTCAAGAGAGGAGCTGACGATATAATGACAATTTTCATTCTATCTCTTTATTTCTCTGTACTTCAGCTCCTCACCCCTTCATTGCTGTCTTCCATCTTCATGTTTTCAGCGATATATTTCACTCCATCCACTGCTTCTTCCAGCTCCGCATCGGCTGTCGGCCTCCCAAAGTCGGGGGAGTCTCGGGCGTCGCCCATCATCCAACAGCAGTTGTACGCCGAATCCTCATTAACGTAGAAAGAGTTGCAGTCTGTGGGGATTCCTCCCAGTCTGCCGTCGGTGTGCTGCCTCCTGCCTGCGGCGCTGTGGAAGCTGCTTTTACTGACGGGGTTCCTGCTGGTGAGCCTTTTGTGGAGTTTACTGTGGACATTGGAGGAACCCGGGCGTCTCATGAGGAGGAAGGTTGCAAGGCGAACCAAGAACAGTTGCTTGACCCAGTCTGGCATGTAGTGAGTAGACGGGGAGCGGTGATGCACATTGAGGACACAGGCCGTACTGACAGTGGAGAATGTGACCAGAACCATGGTGAACATCAAGTATTTACCTTGAAAATGTTCAGAAAAAGAGAAAAAAGGGGTAAAACAAAGACATATTAGTACTACTGTATACTAATGTGTGGGGTGAGAAGCTTAGCCCTCGACTGACACGATTCAAAGACTTTAAAACATGAATTATACATAATTGAAAAGTAATTATCTCTAACAACATAAATCCTGTGTTAAGGTACAAGGAATTAGCTCATAAAGAAATCATTTTAAATGATACTCCCATCCCAACATCTGGAACAGGATGTTTTACATTTTTCTTAAAGAATTTGTTGTGCCTCCACTTCCAACATTAGTGTGCTTTTTATTTCTCTTTCTTGTTCTCCTCTCTTTAAGAAGGACATGAGCCTCTTAAAGAGACAGAGGTCCAATTTCAAGGTGTCAAATCACAAAGTCAAGTTTCTTCTAAGTCACAGTTATGATATACAGCATTTTTATAACAACTGAAGGAAACATAGTTATTTGACTGTGCTATAAAATGGAATATGTGCCTGAAAAATGCATGAAACCACCACTGTAAAACTCTGCAAAGGCCATCGATATTGTGGAAGTGTTTGGTCTGGCCTTGAATCAATTCAAGGAGCAGCAAGCAAACATAAACTAAACAGACCTATGAGCGGCACTGCCAGAGAGGTGGGTGGCACGATCTTTGATATCAGGAGCAGGAACACGGTGAGGGCCAGCAGCACCGAGATGCACAGCGTCATCTTCTCCCTGCAGTCCGAAGGCAAATAGAACACCAGGATGGCCAACGACGTGATCAACACGCACGGGATGATCAGATTGATGGTGTAAAACAGAGGCTTCCTCTTGATGACGAAATCGTAAGTGATGTCGAGGTACGTGATGTCGCTGGGGTCCTCGTTTTTGCGTGCCGGGAGCGAGACGATGTCCCACTCCCCGCTCGGCGTGAAGTCGTCCCGGCTGGCGAAATCGCTGGTGAGGATGAGGTCCACCTCTGTGTGGTCGTACGTCCAGGAGCGAAACTTGAGCGTGCAGTTCTGTTGATCGAAGGGAAAGTTCTGCACCTCGATGGAGCAGGCGGACTTGTAGATGGCTGGGGGGAGCCAGAAGATGTCGCCCGTGTTGGAGACCACAGCGTTGCAGTAGAAGGAAACTTCATACACTCCGTCGGCACTGTGACATGTTTAGAGATAAGCCACAAATATTCAACAGTGAGCAATCTGTCCGTTGAACCATACAGCCATGGTTATCTAACATTTTCTCTGCACCTTCAGCTCATTTTATCGGTTTACTTTTTCCCCCTACTCACTTGTTGTAAAGCACTATGTCAGGAAGCCAGATCAGTTTGGAAGGTATTCGCAGTTTTTTGATGCCTTCATATTTTTCCGGGTCCCATCTCAGTCTGTAGTCATTCCATTCCTATAGAGAGAGCAAGCGCTCTAATCAGCAAACCAAAAAATGTATGAACTGTGATGCAGACAGGGAGTTAGAGAAAGACTGTGCAGTACCTGAAACAGCCACACATTGGTGGTCATTATCTGCTCCCTTTCATTCTGCAGAAAAAAAAAACACATTTATTTGAAACATTGATTGGATTTCTGCCATTTTTTAGTTTATCTGGTCGACTTTAAGCACTTTTTAGCAAAATATGTGAAAGTCCAACCCACCGTAACACAAGGTCACAGTTTGATGTCGAAACACCACATTTTTTAATAGTTCAAACACAGAGTAATTTAGACACATAGTAATAACATCACTCTAACCGTATTCACTGTGTTTCATAGCAACAGTTTTCTAAGTTCAGGTCAGAATTATGAACCATCAAGTAGGGGGTCTGGAGATGATCTCTCAAACTTAAAATAAATTATTTTCGTCATTATTAACAGCAATAAAAATTAAGAAAACAGTATATTTGCGGAAACTTTGTTAATTCTATGCTCTTGTTCAGTTGGTTTTTAATGAATGTTTTGCACATTATGACCACAGGTAATCAGACAATCAGACAGATGAGAGAAAAACTGAACTATTTGATCTGCATATAAAGCGTATTGGATGAAGGCATGCTCTTCCGCACATTAGGCTGAGCACATCATCCCAACAAGGAACACAGAGGCATCATCAGGTAGTTTGAATTATATTCTTTGGGCCCTCTAAACATATTTATGATTTAGAGGGCCTCACTTTCCACTTGAAGATCACTGTTAGCAAATGTTCTCTATCCAACCTCATCTCTTTGCAAAAAAGGAACACACAGAAAATGTAGACTTAGGATGAGCAAGGTTGGTTGAAAAAAAACAAAAACAAAAAAACATTTCAAAATAAAATAACCACCTCACAGCCCAGACGGACCATCAATGAGTCATTCGGTTTTACAAAAACCCAGACATCCAAATAAAAGAACGTGTCTACAAATTCCGCCTTGTATTCTGGCAAGTTCTTGTTCTGCGTCGAGTTTGCAGCCAATGCAAAAATCAAATGGGCTGTCGCTGTTCGACCTCAACATGTCAGTCACGTATCACCGGGAAGACTCAAAGAGACGGGCAAGAAGACTCACACTTGTTCCCAGCCAGCGGCAACTTCAAGCTGTCACTTCATCTAACCCGCAAGCCTTTTTACTGAGACCCTATGATGCAGAGCTTGGAAGTTTGCATGATCACATCTCCATCCTTGTTTTACTGTTTTTTTGTTATGAAATGATTATATATGTATGTGTGTGTGTGTATGTATGTGTGGTTTTTATTTTGTTTGTTTTTTTTTTTTAAAGAAAAATCCAGTTAATGCAATGTAACCATATCTTCTGAAGAGGTAAATGACCCTCATTGGCCCAATGGGGGGGTTCAGGTGATGGAGCAGTGGTTAGATTTTATGCCATGAAAACTGTGTAGCTATTTAAACCAAATAGGTTTTTATTAAATATCTATGCAGTCAGATACAGAAACAGAGCAGGTTTGTTATAGAGATCTCATCAACTACAACTAGTAAAGCAGCACAGAGTCTGTTAAGCTGTATTTCATACTAGAGATATTACCTAACTCAGTTTTGCATAATCACTCGTCTCACACCATAATTTATATTTTGGACTTTTTTGTCTTCATAATTCAGTGGAGCCTCCTGAGAAACAACAGAAACTCTATTTGTCTGGAAAGGTGCTTTTCTAGTATATTAAACAGAAACCTATCAGACATGATGTAATAATGGAGTGGGAGGATGAATGATCATCTTAATATCAAATTCTTCAGTTCGATGTTTTGTTTCATAAAAAAACCCAAAGGATTCCACCAAAGACAAGAGTGTAAAAGAGCTGATTAAAATCTGTTTCCATTCCTCTTCTCTCTTCTTGTGTTAACAATGGTAAGCTCACATTTTTAGTAGCAAAAACAATGTTGCAGTCGGTTCTCGTCTGGAAATTAGACGCTCGGCAGCCTCTCCGGGTCCAAGTGGCTCCGTGTAAGATGGGCTCAGGGAGAGCAGCTGATTAAAGATGCATTGCATCAGAGACATTGGGAAGTTGTCTGCTCAGAGCCCAAAGGGTTTCAAAAAATAACAACAGCAGAGCCCATTCTGCTATAGTTTACTCACGATGCTGCCTTATGTTGGATGATAGGAAAGGATCGGCTCTCATGTCACCAAATTAAAACCTGATTTCTGGGTTTTTGACCCAGCATCACCTCGAGTTGAAAAATCTGGATCCACTGAAGTAAAGTTTAGCTCTCCTTCACAAAGAGTGGCCCATTTTGTGGAAATCTGGAAAATTTTACAGATGACTTATGGAGAAGTAAAACTAAAAAGTCTCATTTAAATATTAAAATACTTGTTTACATTGCAGCATTACCATGGCCTCTTGGCTCCTGGTCTTATTGGAGCGCTGAGTCTGTCAAGACGGTGATGTCTTGGAGGTTTTTCAGAACAGAGGTTGTATAACTCTTTGAGGACAGCTTGAGAAAAAAAGGCAACTATTTGCAAAATTTATTCATGTTTATTAAGCAAGACTATTCTTTGTTCAAAGTACTTACTAATGTTGTGACATGGAAAAGAAAATCTAAATAAAGCTAACTTGATTTTGTCAGGTAGAGTAAACAAAGCTAAAGTTTGTATAAATTATGAAAGGTTTAATGTAGTAAATAAAATTTGCAAGTACACTTCTGAGTATGTTGTAATTCTTTAATCACCCTTAAGAAGAAAATGCTTTATTGAAACACTTATATGGGTATTTGGTGTTTTGAAATACCGAATGAAACACCGTAAAGATAACAAGATTGTTTTTTGTTGTGTGGAAGAACTTAAACTTAAACTTACCTGAAAATTATTACACATTATTGGCAAATTAGGAAAAAGTTGAAGGGGTAGAAAAACTTTTGCAAAAGCACTACATAAAATCTTCATACTGTAGCAGAAGTATTATAATCGGTCTTCATTGTACCAATGAAACTTGCCCCAAAACCCAACTTTAACGATATTGCGTAGCACAAATTATACTCACAACACTGATGAGCTGTGACAGGGAAACCTGTATGGAGATGGTGACCTGTTGGCTTTTATTCACCGCAGGTCTGATCAGCTTGTTGTAGCGCTCCGGTCCAAACAGGTGGTTCACCAGCCGCTCCTCAGCATTTTCTGCTCTGCTGTCTGCAGGCAGAAGAGCACAGGCAGCAAATACACTCTGAGTGTGTTTAATTTCACATGACTGCAGGTTGTTTTTTCTAAACAGCCACGAGAAAAACAGACACAAGCTCATTTGAAAATATTACATCAGTCAATCAATAAATGATGTGATAGATAAATGCCATTTGCTCGTCCTGCAGTGAACCGCAACGTCAGGAAGCTTCATTTTACAAAAATAAAATCCCATAAAATGAATCAGCTTCTCTCATGTGTTAGACGCCAGTTGGATGTGAACAATAAAGCTATCAATGCCTAACCCTATCACTATTACACCATATTTGCTTTGTCAATGTGATTGGCTGAGCATTTTGCAGACTCTCAGAGAAGAAAACAAAAAAAAAACCAAACAGAAATCCAGTCATGCATCCTATGAGACAACCTCTCGAAGCTTGTTGTTTGCACAGCTTTAAATGATTGGTTATGTAAAAATAGAGCCCAGAATAACTTGCAGGCAAAATGTTTTTGTTTTTTTTTTCGTCTCGTGACATTTGCTGCCGTCGTGCCTCCATTGTCAAGCAAACTTACAAAAGCAAAGCGGGCATTAAATATCTAGATGGCTTGCTTCATTGTGCCACATGAACGGTCTTTCCCTCTTTTTTTCAGCAAATTGAGTGCAGCAAGCGCAGACGTTCTTGTTACAGATGCACCATGCCGTTTTGACTTTTATGTCAGGCTGGGTGTTATTTGTTTCAGTTCAAATGGGGCGAATGAATGCATTAAAGCTAAATGAAACAACCAGTTGTCAGCTTATTTCAACCCAAAAGGACAAATAGTTTGCTGTACCGCTTGCAGAGGAAAAATTGGGTTAAACTTAAGGATGACGTATTCTAGTTACCCTAACATAACTAGAATACTGAGCAAAAACTAAATTATCTCCCATTTCTTTCTATATTGTTTGCATGGAAAGAGATGCCCTTGCAATTTAATTTTTTTTTTTTTTTTTTGCACGTTCATCGTCCCTATTTCATTAACTTTTGCAACAACAGATTGCCAGAGAGGTTTTTACTGAAAAAACTGCCATCAGGTTGGTTGAAGTTCTCTCAGACTTTTTGCGTTGAATGATAACAGCCTGATGTAAAGTGAATGGCCCAGATGGTTACCTGTCTTGAATCCCATTTAAAATATATGAAAAGAACTGAAATGGGAGTAAAAAGAAGACTCAACAAGAACGTCCCGGATGAAAGCATTTTCTATAGAGATTGGGTCAAAATCCCACCTGAGCGATGATGCATTGATCTTTATGCTGGGTTTTTTGATCAGAAAAATGATTTTGAATTACACGATACTGAGACATTCAAATAAACAAGTGTTCAACTTGTATTTCCTGTTCTCAAACACATAATTTGTGGACTCACTTGTTTTGATTTGATTGTATTTGTTGGTTGCCTTTGGCTGTTAGAGACGTCTGCTGTGAATTTTCTATCAAAAGGCAGATTCAAATATAAAGTACCTTGTTCATACTTTGCTGTTTGTGGCTTCAAATGCCTTAAAGCAGCACAGAAGGACAGAATCAGTGAAGTTGTAGTGCTGCCGTTCACAATCTGTGCATTTCACCACAGCTGCTGTTAAACACTGCCGCTTTGAATGAACACTGGTGCCAAATACAATTACGCAACACTAATCCAGCACAAATCTTCTGGCCTTTAAGGAAACACAAACACAGAGAGCAACACTGTAAAGGACACAGAAGGCTGCTCAGTCTCTCTGAGTTGTACAGTATTGCATCCTATAAATTATTCAAAACCCTGTTTACAGAGAATATGTATCCTGATGGATCCAATAGAACAATACGTAACCATTTTTTTTTCTGTTATATTTAAACGTATCAGCTGTAGTGAGTTGTCTGTTTTACTCAGTTATGCTGGTAAGAAGCCCTCGCTGTTTGATTCTGACCCAGAGGAAAACGCTAAATGTGTCAGTTTAGTGATAAAAGAAGCCAAAAACACAACACTCCACAAAACAAGAATCCAGGGCAGATTATTAACAAAGAGATTCTTTTTAAACAGAGAGCCACTCAAGTGTGCTCTCAGAGAGAAACGACGCGAGGCTTTCTTGGATACATGAACAAAAGTAGCCCTCAGTGAATTATTCAAACGGCCCGTCTGCTTTTACTTTTGAATATTTTTAGAGTCTGCACACAACAACTGCCCAATCTTCCAGGTAGACGGAAGAAAACATCTCCAGGCTGATGTTACCCAACCTTGAGCTTCGATTAAAAATTAAGTTAGGAAATAATTATTTTCAGCAACATCTTCGCATTAAGAATTGTTGGAAATTCTGCCGCTAATTCTTTGTGCAAATTTCTTTTTGTCAAAAGGACAACACTTAGCAACATGGATCTTTAACCACTCAATCTATTTCTTCTAAAGTCTTTTTGAGGAGGTCTGGATGAAAATGAAAGAGGTTTTTGTTTGGGTACCAATCCTGTTTGAAAGACCTAATGGCAACTCATCTTTAACTTACGGTCAAGGTTTTCCTATTTGTATGAAAATATTTTTCTCATAATGCATTAAAAGCAGCTATAATGCCATTGCAGCATCTCCACTGGCTTAATGGTGGGCATCCCTTGTTTTATACCAGACTCACCTGAAGTGTTTCTTGCTGAAAAGTTTAATCTTCGTCTCCTCTGATCAAACACAATGATCCAGTTAAAAAAAAAAAAAAAAAAAACATTTTTTATGACATTACTCTCATTATGGGCCCTCCTTCAACGAGCTCTGGATATTTATTTTACCTCATCCAGTGCATGGTGGCACGGTGTGTTATGGCTGCTTCTCCAACCCAGAGGCTAAAAGAAACTGACCTCTGCATCACTTTCTTTTTATACCCCACAAACCAAGACAGTCGTTGGTTATTGAAACATTTCTATCCACGGAGATCAACTTTAAGATTAAATTATTCAATCAAATAATAGATTGGCTCACAGATATTATTTTAAGCCAGGATTGATTTTCTTTAAAGGATAGTTTGTCAATGTGAGAATAAATAAACACTGGGAAATCATGCCACAGCAATAATCGGTTAATTGGAATGTAAGCTTTCAACACATCTATAGCACTGCTGCCAACGAATGTGTCTGTGTTTCTAAAAATGGCATAATAGTGTCTCAGTTTTAAAACCGTGCACCTGAAGTTGGTGACTGAAAGCATTTCTTTAGCCAAAGTGCAAAAAAAGTTATTAAATGAACGATGAAGAAAAAGAAAAAGATTCCAAACTGAGCAGTAAGTCCCATAATGCGTGTCCCAGTGTCTTTGTTTTTGTTTTTTTGGGCGTGTGTGTGTGTTTGTTTGTTTGTGTGTATGTTTGTTTGTTTGTTTTTTAAACTGACAAAAACTCAAAGAAAGTGAGGGATTTTTGTGCAAATCAAGGCTGTGGTGCAATTTTAAAGAAACAGAACCTGAACATCGTTCATGTACAAACTTGTGTGTGTGTGTGTGTGTGTAGGTAGGTGTGTGTGGGGGGGGGGGGAGAGGAGGGGGGTTCAGAGGGGGGGCAATAGTCCAGAGATCTGTGCGCTCACATTGACATCAGCACCACGGTCAGCGTCTGTTTCCTCCCTCGGATCATAGCACTAAATGAATTCTCCACTAAAACGCTGCTGGACTCTAAATGCATGCTCTCCGTCGTAAAGTTGTTTTTTTATGCTTCAATGCGAGGAATCGAACATGACTTACTTGTAAGCGACAGAATGAGGAGCAGGAACAAAGGGCTGGGTGTCATCTCCTCCCCGCTTCTTGGCACAAAAAACTTGTTACTTTCCGACGGCGCTCTTCAAAACGAGAAATTTAAGTCCATTTAAAGACAAAATTCAATCTGTGTAGTCCATCGCGATGAAATGGGATTTTCTTTCCCACAGTTTCGGGTTTAGATTCTTGAATTTTTTTCTTTTTTTTTTTTTTTTTTTTTTAGAATATTAAAAAGGACAGCATGGGAACATGGAGACCAAAAAAAAAAAAGGGTTCGCAGCCTTAAAAATTGATTGTCAAAATAAAACACGTTGTAAGTCGCTTTATCTCAGGGCGTCAAAAGCCACGCTGTATTTATATATATATAGCCTATATATTTTCATTATAATTATTTTTCCCGCCGCAAGCAGCCACTGTCACAACGTCGATCCAGATCAAACAGCCAGAGATGAGATCCACTTTGGCGTCGCTGTTGTCTCCAGAAATGTCAAAAGCAAACTTCTGTCCCTGTGACTTGCTTCATCTTCAACCGGCGGAAGTTTGCGGATCTCTAATGAAGCCTCAGACGCGCTCTCGCTGCACCCGCGGCGCGCACCGGGAGCGCGCTTCAGCTATCAGGTCCGACGAACAGAACCGTTTGTAGCCGCTTGGAGTCAAACTCACTGAGACTCACTGAGACTCAGTGAGGGGACTGAGCTCACTCAGAATGAGCAGTCACCACTTGACTTTTAGTTTGCGTGCGTGCGTGTGTGCGTCTGTGCGCGTGTGTATTTACAACTTTGACCTTTGCAAGGAATCTGGCAATTTAGATTAACATCAACAGAGCTTTTATTTTAAAAACACATTTTTATATTTTCTATTTTTCTATTTTATATAAAAAGGAGGATGAGTCAAATGATAATCTTGTGGTAACAAAGGTTGATATTCTCTCACATTCTCTCTTTTCTGTTTGATAAAGGTTCAACAATCCAGTTCAGAGGACGTTTAGTCCAGCAAGTTGTTTCTGGAGCAATTAGTTTTCCACTCACCATCAATCAGGTGCCAGGTGGGGCGCACTCTGGACTGTCCTCCACAGGGACACACAGAAAAGACAACCAATTTACACGCACACACACACAGCTAGGGACAAATTACACAGACTAAATAACCTATCAGTCATGTATATTCACAGGGAAAGGAAACCAACTCACACAGGAAAAACCCACGCAAGCAAACTCCATGCAGAAAAACCCCGGGTTGGAATTTGAACCCAGGACCTTTTTGCTAAAAGGCAAGAGTGTCACCAATTAGACCACCATGCAGTCCAAGTTCTGAAGTCCTGGTGTGAAAATAGCATGCGAGACTACTTGACTCCAGCTTATTTTACTCACCATTATACCTGACAGGAGCTTGAGAGACATTCTGATTCATTTGCCTATAGTTAGATGGGCTGGTTCCTTTTTGGGTTTTTATTTCATTTTCCGGACTGTTCAGAACTGGTCAGTCATTAAAAGTGAGTCCCATTCTGTCTTCAGATGTTGGTTTATTTTTGAGCCAATAGGAATGGATCATGCCTGGGCCAGATCTTCTTACCTTCAGCTCTTTGTTGGAGCCATTCAGGAGATTCACATTCACCATTTGAACATGCTCAGAGGCTCAAAGCAGAATAGAGCAGAAAGTTCTGCACCTTCTCTAGAGCTCTTCTGCATATGGATAAAACATCTCGGATTCAAAACATCTCGGATTCAAAAGTACAAAAGTGTCTTGATAACAGGGTATGTTTTCATGCTGCTTTTTCCAAATGTTCTGTCTTTTTCTACTTTTAATGAAAACATGGGATTCGTACCTCCAGATCAGGAAACAGAAGATTTACTTGGGTGACTTTATGGACGTAGTTTGGATGTGCATATATCCATCCCGGATGAGGCCATATAACCAGCCTTTACACGGCCCAGTGGAGATTTCAATCTGCTTTAATGGAAATCCGTGTCTGCTTCAGTCAAGTTAACTGGCACAAGGTTGCCACATTTCATGGCAGTTCACAGCACACTCACTCACTAAGTCTCCTTCTCCGTCATCACTTTCCACTCATCCGTGCAGATTTCGGGGTGAGAAATAAGAGCAGAGATAGGGCGAGCCATTTCTGTCGCCTTGCACTCAGGACACAATGCATTTGCTACCAATCAATACATAAAACAGGTGAGTAGCTACAACAGTAATGTTTTATGTTTGTTGCTCTCTTTTCTCTCTCTATTTTTTTGTTTCATTGGTCTGTTCTGTTTCCTGTTATAAATATAATAGTTTTATATTGACATGTGCATCTTAGTAGTTTAGAATTGCATTGAAAACTTGCATTTTTGTCCTTCACTTTAAAAAGTAAGACTTGTATTTTCTAGATTCATTTCTCACAATTAAAATGTTTATTTAATTTTGGTGATCTTGGCTTGCAGATTATAAAAACTAATTTTAGTTTCAATAAAAATTGAAATATTACATAAGACCGATGACTTTTTATATGGTAAACAGAAGTGTGCAGTAAATCGGTGACCTTGCAGCTTTCCAGATTTTGGTCACTTACATTTTATATGAGGAGGGTTACCCATAAAAGACGCAATGAAAAACTTCACTGGAAGAAAAAGGTGCGGTTGAAAAAAATGTGGACAAGTCATAAGCCTAACAGCAACTGTGAAAAACGATGCAAAGCAAAACCTGTGTGAACTGTTATCGATTCACTGAGGCTGCAGCTGGAGCAACTTGGAGAACCTTAACAATTCAGGAATAACAGAAGAAGGAAGAAGTATTTTCCTTCTTCTGTCATTCCTTTCTTTTTTTCCAATCAGCTGTTGGTCACAGCAGGTCGTCACTCTGCGTTTAAAAAGCAGTAATGCGAAGGTTGGTTGCAGGTCAACTTGATAATTGTTCAGAGATGATCTGAGGTTAGCTTACTGACGTCCATCGCCTCAGTTTGAGGGTTGGCGATTACAATGTGGAAATGTGGATTTGAGTCAGACACGTCGACAGGAGTGGGATGTTGTGACAAACTCAAGATGCAGATGGATTTCATTACGGAGAGGAATTAAGCGCCCCCCACCACCACCACCACCTACATGATAAGTGCACCGATACAGATCTGCCATCCATCATCAGTGAATTAGATTCCAGCTTTTATGTTGTCAACAAGTGTCTCATTTGTGTGGGGGGCTGCAGCTTGGATAATTTCTGAATTTTAAGGAAAGACCTGCCAGACCTCTGCTGCGAGTTTGCATTTTCAATATTCTTCATTTTAGATTATATATATATATATATATATATATATATATATATAATATATATATATATATATATATATGCCAATATATATATATATATATATATATATATATATATATATATATATATATATATATATATATATATACTGCTCAAAAAAATAAAGGGAACACTCAAACAACACAATATAACTCCAAGTAAATCAAACTTCTGTGAAATCAAACTGTCCACTTAGAAAGCAACACTGATTGACAATCAATATCACCTGCTGTTGTGCAAATGGAATAGACAACAGGTGGAAATAATTTTCATATTTATTTCATTCATTCAGATCTAGGAAGGTAATACATTTACCTAAACAAGAAAACACTTCCAGTGTTTAAAAAATGCTGATTAGTTTAATCTTTTAATTTATTCAGTAACTCCATGTAACATTGTCCAGTAGTTAACATTTGAGGATGTTTTACCACGTTAAAAACCCCTCTGAGTGAATTTTAAGGGTTTTTTTTGTTTTGTTTTTTCCCTCCCGAAACAAGAAACTGATGTCCAGTAGTTTTAGGAACTGATGTTCCTAAATTTGATCCTATTTGACTAGGCTAACTCTTGTCAAATTTAACCAGAGCATGCTTTGGTTATCCCTCTAAGTCTGAAAGGTCTGGCAGATGACAGACTTTACATACACTGGCTGGGTGTCCGTCCAATCAAGCTTACTGGTGTGATTGGCATTTTTCATTACAAAAGGCTTAGACTCTCCAATATGTGACAAGTGACAAAAACAAGAGAACTGCTTTTGTACTTTTTCCAGAAAGCAGACTTCTGTGTCTTTTTATGAAGAACAAAAACAATTATCTCAGATTCCCAGAATGCCTTTCTTTCTATTAAATGTCTAGTAGAAGTTTCTCTATGAAGTTATTTCATAGTAGTTAGGGTTTCACTTTGTGAATGGCGTTACTGAAATGAACTAACGTTTCAATAATATTATAAGTCATCACATGGGTCTGTAATCTTTTTCTTCCATTAAAGGGGAAAAAAGGTTTTGGAGAATCATGCAGTCTGATAAAACTAAACTTAAAGTTCAGTGCTGCAAATGCTGGTCAGTTTTGACCCAAAATCTTTCGGTGTCTGCTCAAAAGCTGAAGGATCAGGGTGAGTCTAAGCATTCATAAAAATGACTTTATTTGAGGAAAATTATGCTTTTGAAAAGGTCAAACCAGAGGGCAGAAATGCTGATTAACTCAGTTAATCCTAAATGGCATTTATATTCAGCTGAATTAGAGCAAGGTTAAGTTATTTTTATTTTAAAGATAAACACACAAAAACATAAGCATCAATCTTTTCTAGAATCTGCAAGTTGACATATTGGAAATAGTTTGATTTTATTGAATCTTTTTGCAACAATATAGACTGTAACGCAATAATACCCTGAGTCGAGGTGCACCATCATAGCTAATATGTTTAAGTCCAACATCAGAAGACAGAAGACATGCTTCTTCAGACCCCGTTTAGTTATTGTGGAGCAGATGCTGCAAAGAAACGTCACACTTTTCAGCACAATCTCATTTTCCCTCCCCTCTAATTTGTTGGCCTATATTTCCAATACTTTCAGCTTTATTGTGCGCTCCGCTTGGGTTCAGTCTGGGGCCACAAGTGAAAACTATGTTTGTCTGGTCTCAAATTGCATAAATCAGAGCCTTTCACGGGTGTTTTATGACAATAAATCCGTACCGTAAAAAACGGTCAACTAGCATGAGACGACATTTCTTTAGATGTCATGAATGAAAACGTGCATCTATAGAAAGAACAGCTGATTGAGCAAAGACAACATTGCAGTTATGTCAAAAATATCATCAAAACATAATGAAAGCTGCTCATGTTTATCTTCAAATAAACTTGACATCCATCTTTTATCTCTACTTGCTCAAGATCCGTCACAAGACAACA